TCTATCTATCTAGTGAGAATTAGTCAAACTGTACACATGTGAGAATATAATATCATCATAAATAGTGGTGGTGTTAGCAGTTTAATCCATCCTCACCCTACCACCACCCAGCCCCCCACACACATACACACACAACTAGTCACATAATTGGTTACATGATTTCATCATGAGCTGACATTAGTTAGACAACCATTGGAAAACCTAGGAGTACTGGACAGCTGTTTCATCAGCCTAGCAGTACGCACCCATCAGGATTCGAACCCAAGACCTTCTGGTTACAAGGTGAGCTAGCTCGTAGACAATTAAGCCACTGTGACCCGATCCAGTGAGTGCGTACTGCTGAAGAGTCCCAAACTAGGCTGACAAAACAGCTGTCCAGTACTCCCTGTAGGTTTTCCAATGGTTGTCTAACTAATGTCAGCTCATAATGAAATCCTGTAACTAATCAACCATATCCCTCTACAAACCAACACTTGAATAGTCACATAATTTTTTTATTCTTATTACTTATTCCTGTGGAATTGTTTAGTCCAATGTAGTGATGTAGTAATGTTACCTTGTTGGTGTTATTGATCGGCTGTTGTGTTGGATCTACTACTCACCATCTATCTATTCGCACTAATCGATAAATAAAGCATTCCTCTGCTGCTTCTGCCCCTGTTTCTTCTGCTTCTTCTCCTATTTCTTTCGCCTCTCTCCCTCTCTCTCTCTCGATAAATTGCGGTCACAAATGATCTATGTGTTCATGTTTGTGTATGTGTGTGTGCGCCCGTGTATGTAATGATTGTTCTCTTGTGTGCTTGTTTGCTTGCCTGATTGATTGATTGATTATGTGTGCTGTGAATCAGAGATCCAGACTGATGAGATATATATATGTGTAGATGTGTTTGTATGTATATGTGTTTGTGGATATAGACATGTGTGTACATAATAAGACTGTCTTGGAGAACAATAGAAACCGTGTTTTTTAGTAATAATAATAATAATAGTAATAATAATATTGTGATAATAACAATAAACTGGAGAGTGCATTTCTTGAAGAGAGAAAGTCCAAGTTAGAAGAAGTCGTGTAACAACAAATCCATCATTAGACAGCTAGCGTGTACTTGTGTCTCTGTATGTATGTGTGTGTGTGCTTGCGTGCGTCCGTGCGCGCATCCGCCCGCGAGTACTTATGTGTGCATAGACAATGGGTAAACATTGATGAAACAGTCTTAGAAATGTTAATGAAGTAATAAGGAGTAAATAAAGCTGATAATAATAATAATAATAATAGTCAAAGTTTGATTTTTTTGTGATTTCATGATGGATAAGATTTTATTTTGATAAAGTGTCACACAGTGTAGTGTTGTTATACAGCAATAATATTAACTGATGACCACCACGTTTCGAGCACAAATTATTACCACTCATGATAACCATTATGAAGACACTCAATCACACAACTTTTTTTCCCTTATTTATTTATATACATGTGTGGAATCGATTATGGTGGACAGATGGGGAAAATAGTGCTCTTAATCCTACTCCAAAAAATATGGTGGAGATATGTGGATGACACTTTCGCACACACATTGTCTCTTAACATTTTGACATATATATAAACTCATTAGTAGAGGGAATAAAATTCACATTTGAATCAGAAAATGAACAATGAGAATTAACTATGATGTTAGATTGTAAAATAAAGACGAATAGAAGAAAAAGGTAAACTGCACACTAGCGGCGTTTATAAAAAAGCCAAAGCATTTTGCTAATAGATATTTAGACTTGAATTCATCTCATCTGTTATCTATCTGTGAAGCCAGGCTTAGTTAAGTGTGTAAAAAAACCGAGGAGCAGCACTAAGTAGTAGTACATACAACAACCTAAATGATGAAATGAAATAGATAGGGGCAGAAGAAGAGTTGGTGTTGAAAAACTATCCTATAAAATTCATTTGGAAGATCAGTAAAGACCAAAAATAAAAATAATTGTGGAACTAGTAATGATAACATAAATAAGAGAGAATACAAGTCATCCACTCTAATACCATATAAGGAGGGGGGACATCTGAGGCCCTACATAGGATTCTTAATAAAGCAGGAATTACGGTGACATTCAGACCTACAAACTCACTCAGGTAGGACAAGCTCTGTAGGTTAAAGGATCCTGTCGGTTGACCCAATTAGACAAAATAATATAATTTACAAAATACCCTGCAATGACTGTGAGTGTGGTCAACTACATAGGTCAAACTAGTAGATTGTCGGAATATAAGAATTTAGCTAAGGTAAGAATGGTTGACCCCACCCGAGAAGATAAGTAATTTAGAAAAAATTTCAGCACTGCATTGCACTACACGCACTAACACACAATAGGGTGGATGGGAGAGGGTTAAGATTCTAAAAAGTAATTTAGGTAGGTGGACAGAGGGAGAGGTTGATTACTAAATCCTTGTTCATCGAGTAATCTACACCCAACACCTGCAGTAGGATGCAATGACTCGTTATTCATACCGGAAATATGGAAAATACTACTACCAATCAAATCAAGGGATGAAAAATAATGGAATTATACAAACGAAGTTAGAAAGTTGTGTGAGTACTGCTTTGATATGATTATGAGCAGCAATAAATTGTGCTCGAAATGTGGTCATCAGTTAATATTCCTGTGTAACACATTGTGAGACTTTATCAAAATAAAATCTTATCCATAATGGAGTTGTACTCTACCACAATGCCCAAGTTTTATACTTAATTTTGTGGTTTTTATCTTAAAAAGTTTAATACAAGTGTATATATATATATATATATATATATATATATACTTTCCCTGTGTGTTCTGAGTGTGCTGAATCTTAGGATTTCAACAAGATTATATCTCTATATTGTCCTGTTGTCTATGGAACATTCTGTATAACTAACTAGTTTGACGATTGTCACCCCATAGGCTTTCGTCCTCTGTATATCATTCTTGGACAAACGTCCAATCCGTTGTTGTTTCCGGCTCCGTGTTCCACTCGAGTAGATGGCCTGTCTAGTTGGTGTGTTATGTGTTGTCAGGTTTTACGGTTTCCTCAGTGTCGTATGTGTCCGATGCATTTTCATTCCTTTCGGTATGCTTGTTGGGCAATAGATTCTTGATTGGTTTATTATCAGAATATTCTGTTGCTTGCAGATTCAATATGCTGGGAAGGAGGCAGTTATTGATAATAGTTTACTGACGTTTTGTTACGTAATGCTGCTAACAGCTTTATCAAAGTAGTAATATTAAACCAGAATTTGCAAAATCTCCGATTATATATAACAACTTAATCATCGTTCATCAGCATGTAGTAATTTTTACTTCGTTGTGAAGTTGGCCAGTTGGTAAAGATAACAAAATCAACCAAGTGTAGATTGTTGGATTTGATAAATGTATAAAATTATAAAAGCAGCGCGTGATTACATAATGAAATTGCTCATCACATTTGTGTTGATTCTGTCATTTCATGATGGGTGATGGGGGTGGTGTTGTAACCTGGTCGAATTATGTTTTAGTCCATCATTCCTATTCAGACAGTTTGGATTCTATTTGATATGAAGTGCTTCTCAGTGATATTAGACGTTCTTTGTGTTTTCTGAAATTTCTCTGGATGATGATTTCAATATTGTCTGTCAAAATCAATTTTGTTGCCTGATTCTATAACTTGTAGACAGATCTATTGCTGATGAATTTTCAAGCTTGTCTAGTTCAACTGAATTTCTCGGTGATCAAATAGAGTCGGCTGCACGGTGTTCATTTCTTTTGATTTTGATTTCTCGAGATGTTTGTCTACAGAATACGAAGCAGTCTTCCTAAAAGTGTACGAATCAACCTTCTTCAAACTGCAGAAGCAATGGTAATTCACTTACTAGGTCCTGAACTCTGCCTACAGAAGAAGTTCGTTCAATCACACACTACACTTGCAATGGACGTAATTTATCTTAATACCTAACAGGTAAATTCTATTTATTTCCTTCTTTCTGTCTCTTCACTAGTATTATTTTGTCTTCTCAACTGTAATATTTTGCATTTTTAACTTTCTTGTTCTCTACCTCCATCCGATTTAATTTCTACACCTCACTACCACTGTTACTGACTTGACCAAAGCTCAATTTCTAGTCATTTATGTTATGTCATCCAATTTATTTGCTCAATTTCAGTTCTAATTTAAATGGCATTATTATCTACCCCACTTCTACTTAGTGTCTACCTGTAATTACCTCTGTTGCTATCCTTGACCTCAGTTGAAGCATTTTAGTCAATTATATTACGTCATCTAATTGACTAACTAACTCAATCTTACTTTAGTTGCTGTCTGATTAACCTTGTTTCTATATTAGATCATTCTTGTATTACCTGATTAGCTATCTGAACTTCACAAACCTCATGTACACACACACACACACAAATAATTGTATATAAATGCGGTTGAATAAATTCACCGAAAAGAGTCTCTTCGCTGGACGTCGTCTCTTTTTATTTATTTATTTATTTTTGATGGGAATTTTTAAGCTATGTTGAGTTGACATGTCGGCTTCTTGTGCAGATGCTTCGACGAGGACTTCGGTCCAATCAATCGACGGGAAAAATCTAACATTCAATTAAAGATAATTAATACGACCCGTTGCACAGGAGGTGGCTCTCATAGTCTAGTGGATAACGCTTTGGCGTTTGAAACTTCGGGCAGTGGGTTTGGGCCTCGGTGGTGGGAACATCATCACTGACTCACTGGGAAATGCAGGTTCATCCATTAGCTGACGAGTTCCAAATAGGACGAAATGCGCATTTTGGTTGGATTCCACTGCTAGTCACCATCCACTTTATTGCGTAATAAATATTTGTTTCCAATCCTTTTTTTCTCTGCCTTTGTGTGGTTCATAGAATGTGGCAACCTGAACTGTTACACATCTTTGGAAAGTTCTATTCTGAAACTCAGCGGCAGTAGCGGCAAAATTTCATTTCCTCTCTCTCTCTCTCACTCTTTCTTTTCACAGTTATACATATAGTTCGACATTTGTTGAATTCTCATGGTTTTCGTGAACTTGTTGAAAATGAACCATGGAGTATACGACCAATGGACAAAGTGTATGTTACTAAAAATGAGTCAACTATTATTGCAGCAGCTATTGGTGGTCGTTATGCACCTGAGAATGGTTTCACTCTACTCGGTGCACATACAGACAGTCCATGTCTTCGATTGAAGCCGAATTCGGAACGTTTAAAAGAAGGTTATATTCAGCTGGGTGTTGAAACTTATGGTGGTGGTCTATGGTATACATGGTTTGATCGTGAACTGACGCTAGCTGGACGTGTAATTGTTCGTGGAAATGGTAGTGGTGCTGGCGGTACTGCTACTGAAGGACGATTAGAACAACGTCTGGTGCATATCAATGAACCGATCGCTTGTGTTCCCAGTTTAGCAATACATCTTAGTCAAGAGATTAAAGCCCAGGGATTTAATCCAAATAGTGAACAGCATTTGTCACCAATCCTGTGTACTAGTATAATGGAACAGGTAAGTGTGTGTTACTCTTCTGATTCACTTTGAAATATTCAGTTTTGTAATTGGGAAAAGCCTGTTATTACTCAAGTGTTCGTTTGTAGGAATTTGATTGGTTACAGGATTTCACCATGAGCTGACATTGCTTAGAGAACCATTGGAAAGCCTGAGTTCGAATCCCGGTGGGTGCGTACTGATGAAGAGTCCCAAACTAGGACGGAACAGCTGTTCAGTACTCCCAGGTTTTCCAATGCTTGTCTAACTAATATCAGCTCATGATGAAACCCTATGATTATTATTATTATTATAGATTCTTTGTCTTTCGAGTGTAACGTAAGAGGTTAAGCAAGCATAATACTCCCATTAGATTCGCTTATCTGACTTCATGATCGGCTCACACGGTTCCATTCCTTTCTCAGGTGATCTCCGCGTTACCCTCGGACATCCAACTCATGGTTTCGTAGTCCGGTTCTACTCGAGGGGCTGCCTGGAGTATGATTATTATCATTATCCCCTTGGGTTCTGAGGGGAACATAGTGCTTCAACAACACATTTCCACCTTGTTCTGTTTACTGCTGTCCTCTTCAGAGGGGTCCAAGATTGACCATAAATCTCTCATCTCCTCCTCATTGACTGCCTCCTCAACATATGTCCAATCCATCTTCATTTGTTGAGGTATAGGTTTTTGGTTGGTTTGTCCCGTTTCAGAGTTTCTGGTTATTAATTCCTTCTGGATAGCTGATCATTTGATTTCCAGTATGGAACCAGGGCATGCGACAGTTGTTGTTGTTGTTGTTAGTCTGTAACTTGTTGGAAATCTTTTTCGTGACATACTGACCAAGTTTTTGACCCGTATAACAAAAGTGACTAACTCACTTCGCATTTGTGTTAGAAATTCGAGTCTTGTTTTTTATGCTGAGGTGAAGTGCAGACGATTTCCAAACTGGTTTCAGAGGTTGATGAAGGCGTATCTTCCCTTTTTCCGATTCTGGCTGGTTGGCTGGCTGGCTGGCTTTGACATCTTCATCCGTCCCGACTGCCTGCTTGTAGTTGAAACTGTGCTTCCTAGTCGGATAAGTGAAGGCAGGAAGTAACCTCTGTCAAACAAATCTCCCCCGTTGATGGTGGGTGATTAATGCAAGTTGTTGTTGTTGTTGTTGCTGTTATTTGGTTACCCCTTCATCCTCTCCGTCTTCTTTATGTTCACCTGGAATCCTGTCATCGTTGATAGCCTTTTCAGTCAGTCTGTTGGTTTTTGCCTGTAAGTCTTCGAGTTTATGTGACATCAGAAAAATAAATCATTTGCAAAATCTAGATCTTCTAGAGTCTTCTTATCGGTCGTCCAGCCTATTCCTATGCCGTGGTGTTGAAGTAGCAACATGGAGGTTAGGCGTCGAGTTCTAGGTAAACAGGGGAAATCAATCGACGAAGTCGTGAAGTTACAAAGACTGAGATGGTTAGGACATGTGTTACGTATGCCAAGCCATCGCCTCCCTCGACGAGCAATGTTAGCGGATATAGGGTCAGGCTGGAAAAAAGCTAGCGGCGGTCAAACAAAAACTTGGCCTCACCAGTCAATGAAATCCACCTTAATTAGTCTAAGCCTAGTAGGAAGGTGTAGACTTCCAGGCTGGGGTCCTCGGGACGGTAAAAATCTATGGTTGGAAACAATTGGTGACATGGCTCAAAATCGTTCTCAGTGGCGCAGATGCATCCACTCCTTGTGACTTATGATCTCCAATGAAACTGTTTTGTATTTCTTTATTACTCCTTTGTCTCACACCTCTGCTCACTGTTTCTATTATGCTTTTCTTGTACTTTCTTCTCTTGCTTCGCGTGCTACACGGAATGTGGCGACTTGAACTTCCGCACATTTGTGCAAAGTTCTATGTCGAAAACAGACAGACAGACAGCTTCCAAATTATTTCTCTGTTAACGCTGTCTATTGAAGGTCTTTTTGAAGTCGGTGAATTTATGGTACAGGCCTTCGACAGCATTGATTAAAAAAGTAACTTGGAAAGTAATTCAACACCATGGGATACAGTGTCCTAAATTCTTACCAATCATATTCAGCAGCTATGCATGTAACAGTGGTATGTGTGTCAGGTTATCCACAATGGAAAATTCAACACTATGCGTTTGAAGTGAAGACAGGCGTGAGACAAGGTAGTCAGCCTACTTATCACTGATGATATTGCTACTTGTAATCGATTGGATTATGCGGCATACTGTGGGTGGTGGTGGTGGGGGGGAGGCGTGAGAAGGCAGGAATACGCCGGACAGGTGGTAAGACTCGTTTTTGTGTTTTTTGTGTCATACAAACTCGAAGGCCTAAAGGGGTGAGAACCACCAACAAATCAGGAAAGGACGCAGTGAAGACAGGACTCTAGGTGAGCATAGAGAAGACGGTGGGGATGAAGATGACCAACCATCCATCACAAGTCGTAATTACTGTTAACGCAAGAAATTTGAAAGAGGTGACTTTGTTCACTTATTGAGACAACATTGTTTCAACTACCCCCGGGAAGTGGGGCGGGGGCGGGGTGGGGATCGGAAAAGGCCAAGACAGACCTTCATCAATCTGAAATCAATTTGGAAATTTTCTGCACTCCACCTCAGCATCAAGAACAAGATTTGGATTTTCAGCACTAATGTTAAGTAAGTTACTTCTTCTTTAGCCGGTCATAAACTTGGTGCATCACGGAGAAATTTTTTTTTCAACAGGTCACAGCTGTCTTCGCCGATTCCATATATTGCAGATCAAATGGTCAGAAAGAATCAGCAACAAGTAACTCTGACAAGCAGTGAAACAGTAAGCGAGAACCGAAGAAAATGAAGACATATCGGATACACAGATCACTTAGAAGGTCGTTAGGTGATATCGCTCGCCAGACCATGTCTTGAGTGGAACTTTGAATGAGAAACAACAAGTCGGGTATGGGTCCCAGGGTGACAGAGAGAGGAGATCGTGTGAGGAGGTGATGAGAGACTATGGGCAATCGTGGAGCCACATTAAGAGGACCGCAGAGAATAGTTTGGAATGTGGAACTCAAAGAAACAATAACAATAGGCAAGGATTAAGAGTTCAACCTGGCGCCTAGAGAGTTGGTGATCATTACTCTAACAGTGGATCACGGACGCAGTAGTTTCACAGTTATATTTTGCTAATAATTCTTGTCTTTATTCTGTGTTAATGACATTAATGATATAAGTATATGTGATATTTCTTTTCACTCTATTTATCTTTCTAGTTACACAATCCTACTCTTCAAGGTTTGATGAACACGGGGTGTGTAAACAGCTCAACCAATCCATGTTCTAATACCTGTCCTCTCCCATTGCCCAATAAACACTCTCATCATCATCCGCCAGCATTATTACGTTTATTAAGTGAACGAATTGGTGTCAGCGAACAAGACATTGTCGAATTAGAATTATACTTTGCAGACTCACAACCAGCACGTGTTGGTGGTATTCACAAAGAATTCATTCATGCTCCACGTTTAGATAATCTATTCAATTCTTATGCTGGCCTCCATGGTTTCATTGAATCTCTTCCAAATTTGTCATCTGAGTGTAATATGCGCCTATTGTGCTTATTTGATCATGAAGAAGTTGGATCCACATCAACCCAGGGTGCTAATTCAGCGTATACATTGTCAGTTATGCGTCGACTTGTCAAATCCCTAGATACATCTAATCTCTCTGCATCAAACAACAACAACAGCAATAATAATAACTCAGAATGTCATAAATGTTGTCATAGTAATATTGATTTTTACTTTGAACAATCCTTGGCTAAATCATTTTTAGTGTCAGCTGATCAAGCACATGCAGTTCATCCAGCCTGGAGTGAACGTCACGAATGTTATCATAAGCCACAATTACACAATGGTGTTGTTTTAAAGTATAATACAACACAACGTTATGCTACAAATGGTTTTACAGCAGCAACTATTCGTGAAATTGCTCGATTGGCTAATGTTCCAGTTCAGGTGAGTTGCTGTGTACGTGTGCGTGTGTTTATGTTTCTGTCTGCATGTTGACATCATTGGTTGTGTTGGTTTCCAGAGTTTTGTTTTGTTTGGTTGTAGGATGTTATCATACACACTGGAAAACCTGGAAGTATTGAGCAGTTGTTTCGGCCTAGTTTGGGACTCTTCAGGACAGTAGGCACCCACCGGGGTTCGAACCCAGGACCTTCCAGTTATGAAGCGCACCTGTAGATCAATTAATGTTATAATATTGTATTTGTTATGAACCATAGGGGTTGCACTCGAGGCTCCACCTGTCTCCTCAACGTCTGTCAAATCTATCTCGATTCCTTTCTACATTTCTGTTGGGTGAAAATTTCTCAATTGTTTTGTTGGAAGTGCTCCTTGTTGCTGATTCTTTCTGGCCATCTAATCTTCAGTTTAGAACCAGCGAATGCAGCTACTGATAGAAGTTTTCAGTCTGTTGTAAATATCGTCGGTGACGAGACACGTTTCTGGAGTTGCCTTCTCTCAATACTCAAGATCAGATGGCCGGCCAGAAGAGATCAGCAACAGGAAGAGATCTCTGGGAGCGAATCAACCAGGAACCGATTGTGCAGCAAATAAGCAGGAAGAAATGGAGATGGATTGGCCATACTCTGAGGAAACCATCAAGTGACATCACTAGACAAGCCCTCGAGTGGAACCTGAATGGGAAGCGGCGAGTTGGTCTTCCGTCCAAGGGTGACTTGGAGGAGGTCATGTGAGGAGGAGATGAAAGCATGTGGGCAGACGTGAAGCCAGGTGAAAACGTTGGCAGAGAACCGAAGGCAATGGAGACGCGCGGCCGAAACCCTGTGTTCCTCTAGGAATTAAAGGATATACTAATAATATAATAATAATATGAAGTTCTTGATTGTCAGTCTGTGTCACGTATGGGGCGCTGGGTATAGACTGTCTGATTGAGAGGGGGATGGTCCTTCTAGATGCGGTGAAAATCCGTTAAGTTCTCATATGTTCCCATATAATTACGCTTTTTCCCATACTCAGACCACTTATGTGGTACCAGACTCTGATGAGCCACACACTTATGGGTATAAGCAGCTCCAACGATACTATCGAGTTTTGTTCAGACTGAAGTCAGCGGAGAAGGGATTCGAACCTTGGGAAAGCAGAGTGGTTCTGTTTTTAATTTTCACTACTCATATATCAATCGTGCTGCATAATTGATCTCTTGTTTTCGGTCAGTAGAGAGAATAGGAGTGTAGCTGTGTATGTCTGGGTGTGTGTGTGTGTGGATTTTTTCACAATAGAACACTTATAACACTCTTATATCGATTAATCTGCTTCTTCCCTCTGTTGGTGTCACATAAAATAAATGACAAAAAAAAGTGATTGTAATTATTCTCACAGCTTGAAAAGTAGAATTTCTATCACAACATAACTGGCTAGCTAGCTACCTGGCTCAGTAGGGTATACGTTATATAATAATGATCACAATAATAATAATAATAAAAGAACACACACTGGTGGGAGTTTAATTTCTGGATTAATTGCTCACTTTTCTCTCTGCCTGCCTGTCTCTCTCTCTCTCCGTAAAACAAGAAAAGTCACCATAGAATAAAGATTTATTGTGCTTTTTGTGTTAATTACTTATATATATATATATATATATATATATATATATATATATATATATATATATATATATATATTAAAATTCAAGTGTGTTATTCTAGGGATTTGACTAACTGACTGGTTTCAACGTTGAACTTTGCAGAGATGTGCAGCTCCATCAGCTCGAATGGGTTGATCGCTGACGAAATCCCAGCACAGATACAGAGGGCTAGTTTCGCATGTACCAGTTTACGCTGTATCTGGCCTAGTAGACGTGATATCCGGTTGGCTATCGACCAAAGAACGGGTGTACTACTCAGCAGTTCGCTCCGTCCTCGTTTATGGCTGTGAGACCTGGCCATTGAAAATGGACGATATGAAAAGACCTGATTAGCTGTCTTTGACCATAGGTGTCTCCCTATCGATCTATCTCCCGTGTTAGGGTGTTAGGTATAATAGAGTGAGTAATGTTGAGGTTAGGCGTCAAGTGATAGGCATGGAGGGTAGATCGATCGACAAGGTTGTGAAACAGCTGCATCGATTGAGATGATAAAGACATGTATTACCCAAGCATCCCTAGGTATGCCTAGCCATCGCCTTCCTTGACTGGAAATGTTAGCTGACATAGGATCAGGCTGGAAAAGACCTAGCGACGGTCAAACCAAAACATGGATTCATCAGTCAATGAAATCCACAACAGTCAGTTTAAGCCAGCCAGTCACGTAGGAAGATGTAGACTTCCTGACTGGTTGGGGTCCTCGGGACGGTAAAAACCAGTGAAGGCTGAAGACAATTAGTGGTATGGTTCAAAATCGTTCTCAATGGCGAGGATGCATCCAATGAAACTATATTGTTCTTCGTTATTTTTCTTTTGTCTCACACCTGTTTTTTTCTCTCTGTTAATTGCATTTCTTCTCTTGGTTTGTGTGCTACAAGGAGTGAACTGCTGCACATCGATGCAAAGTTTTATGTCGAAAACAGACAGACAGATGTGCAGCAGTTCAAGTTGCCTCTCTCCCGCCATTTAGCACACAAAACACAAATAAACAGAAGTGTAAGTGAGGCAAAAGAGAATAGTAATATCATAGAAAAATACTAGTTTTTTATATTGGATGTGACAAATGAATGACTAAGAGAGTGAATGCATCTGGGCCAGTCATTAACAACGATTTTGAGCCAGTGGTTCTCACCATCCTGAGGACCTCAGTCAACCAGTCTACACCTCTCTACATGGTTGGATTAAACTGACTGTTATGGATTTGATGATTGACTGATGAAGCTATGTTTTGGTCTGACCACCATTAACACCACTACTAGCTAACTGTTGTCCAATCTGACAACAATCTGACAAAGCAGTCAGTCACGATCATAGCATACAGTTCAGTAAATGTATCTGCGCCAATGGAAGCAAATTCCATCCATATCACTAACAATCCTCGTCTTGAAGCCCCCAGTCAGTCAGACAGTTTATGCCTCCATCTTTGGCTGAAATCAACAGTCTAAGATTCAATGCACCGATGACATATTTCGATTTGAACACTCCCTAACTCTTTTATAGCCTATTCCTGTGTTGGCTAACGTGTTTTGATGAGGAAGGTTATGTATAGCTTGATATGCGTACAACGTGTCCTCGCCATTTCATTCGTTACACCGTCCCAAAACCACCAGTGGGCTTCCCTTCCTTATCTAACACTTCATGTCTACTCTCAGTGTTACTCACCATTTTGTAAGCAGGTAAAGACTTACAGTGATAGACGACTATCCTTTTCATATCTTCAACTTTCAACGATTGTCTTCCACAGCTGTTAAGAAGGATTAACCCAACTGCTGAGTAGTTAGTAGTTGGGATATCTCATTCACGTCAGGGGATGACGTTTTAGGATTTCGAACCCCGTAATGTCAACTCAATATGTGTTGTGGAGTTCTACAATCACACAGTAATAGGTATAGACATGACAAATTCAAGGAAAAAGAAAGCTGATTACGTCTATTTCTAATCTCTATAGCAAGTTTATTTGATGATGGATGGATGGATTGGTGTCCTCTTTCCACTTATGAATTTTGTTGAATTCAGCATTTTTTTTCCTTCTTGTTCTTGAGTTCTTCTTAGGCTACTCATCATTCATTGTACCTCATATTATCGATTACTCATAAGTACAATTGTTTAACTCAGTCTGTGTACTAATTAATTTAAGCTATGACTTTAGGCTAAGCTGTTTAATAATAACTGATACAATTAGCGTGAAAAGTTGATCACGCTGACATTATTTACCTAAATTGTTGTATTACGAGTAGATTATAAGTATTGTTTGTTGTACATACACATATATATAGTACTTTTGTTGTCTTTTCGTTTGGTTGAGTAGTCATCACAGTGCCCTATGAATTACTATATATGTATGTATATCAGGTGATTGGAGGCAATCCTAAAGAAGCCAGAGGCTTAGATCTCATGCTTACTAATACTGGTCAAAAAGGTATATCATCGACTTGAATAGCTCAATGGTTATCTCTTTGACTGTAATACTAGGTATGTAACGATAGAAGACAAGGGCCAGGCAACAGATCATTTATTGAGGAAATCAAGAGATATTTATACATTTTTGTGTATATTATTATTCGTTATTATTAGCAGAAAAACAGCGTCTGCTGATTGGTTGTTTTTTCGCTGAAAGTTATTCCATCGTCTCTTTGTGGTCGTTTCTTTGAAGGTCAGATCATATATCTGAGAATCATATCCGCCCACTCAAAGTTTGCTGTTATTGATTGCTGAGTTAGTCTTTGTTCTTGTTTTTCTCATGATCAAGATGTGGGACTTAAATTGACGTAAATTGCTATCTACCAATTTTGGCTAGCAGACAGCTCTCACCACAGGTATCGTGGGTAGGAATCCCTGGAGGGATTTCAGTTCTTTTTGACAATTACTTTCAAACACCTAGTATCATACTGAGAATGTTTTTTTATTGACCTCAATTTAGCAGAAGTTGGAATTCACAGGTCACTGGATCGTGCCCAGGGAGCTTAATTGTCTATGAGGTCACCTTGTAACCGGAAGGTCCTGAAGGTTGGAAATCTGGTGGTGGGTGGGTGCGTACTGATGATGGAGTCCTAAACCAGGACTTCCTGGTGGTTTTCCATTGGCTCTCTAACTGATGTTAGCTCATGATGAAATCTTCTGACTTCATTAGTAATTGTTTAGTTACTGTTTCTTGATGTACTTGATTTAGAGGCTCCTGGTGTGTATCCTGCCGTAATGTAGACGTGCGTTTCACTTAAATTTGTATGATGTACTTTGGTATAAGGTTACCACAAAGCATATATATTTTTTAGCTTCATCGATTTACTAAGAAGTAAAGTGGTGATTTTTATTATAATTTGTTTGTTGTGATGTGATCAATTTTCTGTTTTGGAATACCTTGAGTTGAATAGAGATACCGACTTTGTAGTACACAGATGCGGTGATTACGCAATATCATTAGGCTACCACTCCATCATAATAACTACCTGTTTCCCCAGTCCTCACTGACTGACTGGTTTCAACGTAGAACTTTACACAGATGTGCAGCAGCTCGAGTTGGCACACTATGTAGTACACAAAGCAAGAGAAGACAGAGCAAAGAAAGAGGCAAGAAGAATAGTAACATCGAAGAACCGTATAGTTTTATTGGATATGATAAATCACAAAGAGTGAATGCATCTGTACCAGCCATTGACAACGATTTTTAGCCATATCAACAGCTATTGTCATTTATTTCCCTTGGTTTTTACCATCTTGAGGATTCCAGTCCGTCAACCAAGAAGTCTACACCTCCCTACCTGGCTTAAACTGTTGTGTATTTCATTGACTGATGAATCCATGTTTTTGGTTTGACCACTAACTAGCTCTTTCTCAAACTGATCCTATGTCTGCTAACATCGCCCGTCGAGGAAGGCCATGGCTAGGGATTCGTGCGTAACACTATATATATATATATATATATATATATATATATATATATATATATATATACTCAATATACCTTCACAGCCTCGTCGATTGATTTCCCCTCCTTACCTAGGTGGCATTCGACCATTGCCTAACCTGAATATTACTCACCCTATTATACCTAACACTTTACACGGGAGATATAAATCGGACTCCTATGATCAGGATGTAGAATTTCTGGGGTTGACATCTTCCAACCCCCCACTCTTTCGAAAGTGGAGAGGCAAAATCGCTGGTCGATAATGTGGACTATCTAAGGAGGGGGGGGACACCTCATTGCTGTTACATCTTCGTTCGCCTTCAGTACGACTTTACCCACAGGCCTTTAGCATAGTCTAAGCATTTCACACTGTACTACAGATAACTGGTTTTAGTCAAATTGCTATCCCGACAACCTTTTTGCCATGGTATGACTTGCAGAAACATTGATTTCAGCTAATGTGTAGCTTATTGTACTATTGTGTGATATGTAGGCGCGACTACACTACTTCAATGGTAGTAGCTATTGATCAGGACTTAGTCAGTTATGAAAGAAGATCTGTCACACATTTATCCTCCCGTTGTGAATTTAAACAAAGCAAAAACAACAAATGTTTGTGCAGAACAATATTAGGAGCCCATCATCATTTATTTCGTCGTCAGATACTCTTTAGCTGCTTTCTACCTAAAAGTTAATTATTTGGTGTACATAGAACTCTGTCAATATGATTTTTGTCAACACAGACACATGCTTATGAACATTGTTTAGAAGTTCCACTTTATCTAGGTCATGAAGAAGGTGAAAACACAAACATGCCAAATTAATGGTCGGATACGTTGAAAATTGAGTGGCATACCCAAGAGGTGAGGAAGTTGATGATGTTGGTTAATAGTGTAATCACAGTAACAAAAATAACTAAATCCATGTTAGAGAACCATAAAAACCAATGAGTACTGGATAGCTGTTTCACCCTAGTATGGGACTCATCGGCAGTACGCACCCACCACCAGGGTTCAAACCTAGGACCATCTGGTTACAAGGCTAGCTCGTAGACCAATCATCCAACTTTGTCCTGCCTGAAGTTCTAGTGAGAAGTCTTGACCAGTGGGGTTCATGCTGTCGGGAGTGAGGATGAAGTCCCGCCGATGATATTGGTTGGTGGTGCCAGTCGCGCTAAAATCACGAATTAGTAGAAGTTAGAATTCATGGACTGGCCATCAAGCAGTTAGGTCTCAGTGCCTTGTAACTGGAAGATCCTAGGCACCAGATCCAGTTGGTGCCTACTACCGATAAGTCCCAGACTAGAATGAAACAGCTGTCTAGTAATTCCAGGTTTTCAGTAGTTCTCTAACTGGTTATCAATCCGTGGTCTAACCTGAAACAAATAGAATACCTACAAACTAATTCTTGAAAGGAGCTGAATTACATCAAAGTAAAAATGGATACAGGGTGGGTTAAAGCAAAAGATTATGTCATCGATTGAGACGAGAAGACTAAAGGTTGAGTCACCAAGTCAAGAAAAAAAGACTAATAAGTCGGGCTTTAAACGTTTGCTAGCGATTGGTTCAGCAAATTCGAGTAGAGTTCAGTTATTAGGTAGTTGGAGGCAATCGGCCACAGGAAGCCTTGTCTGGACGTAGGTTTCGTGCTAGTTGGCACTCACCACCAGTCAGCAAGGCGTATTTGCAACCTAGAAAAGATAATAATACAAATTCAGGCAAAGTTAAACTTTAAGCACCACTAACTACCAATCAGCAAACGACTTTCAACGAACCAATCGCATGAAAGAGAGAATTTTGATCATGGAAAATGTATATTTATGAGAAAAAAATGCATAAACCTGTTACATAGGGTACCTTTCTCTAACATGTGACAGAAACATCTCCCAGTTTAGCATAGGAATGTCAACATCACATTCTGTACATATATTCATCCAAATAACTATAAATGAGAGCCTTTTGAGATCCATTTATAACCCTAATCCTATTTTTAAATCTTCCCTAAAATCCTCTTATAGAATTCGTGTTTGTCATTGTAATTGGATCCATAAAATCACTAGAATGGTTCACTTTTGTGATGAACATATCCAAGGGATGCCAGTGGGTTATAATCTTTCCATTCATCAGTATGTACTAAGGATCCCTGATGCACAAGTCTAGTAATACATAAGTATTAAAGTAGTTGACTTTCTGTCTGGTATTGTCTCCAGGAGTCCTTTCCGTAGGGAGGTGTCATATAAACCAATCACCCAAATATTGTTGGCTCGCTCACGACTACGGTTGGAATTTATTTCTTCAGTAACACAGTTTCGTCCACATGCACGACGATGCCTTCTACGCCCAACAGCGGAGTAATTCTCTCCATTTTCCATGATGCAATGTCTCTGCAGTGCTGGTGCCACTGAACTTTTGACAAGAGGCTATTTTCGGTTTCAGCAGCTGCACCTTTCACAGGCTGTTTTAAGACCCAGTAATTACAAATATACAAAATCTGGGCTAAGGAGGGATGTGATCTAGAAAAAATTTTCCTACGAAATATTAAAGTTATCAGCGTACCTTCTCTAATACTAACTCGTCTTAAGTAATTGCACAACTCATAACACCTCCACCTCTAAGCAATACTGCGAAACCTTATCCTCCTCCTCGAACTGCAAGCGTAACTTCGTTGGAGCACGCATTCGGAACGAATCAAGGTCTATACAACCTTGAACTCACGTGCATGATCCTCATTTGATCATTCGAGGTCATTCGCTGATTGGTTAGTTAGCGGTGCTTAAAGTTTAACTTGGCCCAAATTCATGAATTTATAGTCTCCACTGAACACCGACCAGGGCAGCAGTAGTGACTGGACCTGTTTCGTCTGCACACAAAGCAACTGGTTGTTTAAGGCAAATCGTGATAGCCTCTACTGTTTGGAGCATGTTGTACCTCGATGTTTTTGGCAATTTATTTAGTACCCGGTAGATGATAGAGAAGGATTCTTCTATGCTGACTAGCTTTGTGGCCGGTTAGTTCAGACGAGATGGTTTAATATCGAACTATTGACACTTTGTTACTACACCTATTTACTTAGCTATTCCCTTAAATTATTTAAAATCAACCTGAACCATCTTCATTCCTCTCTTGTTCTCTCTTTTATTATTATTTGTAGGAATTTGTATCTCGACAAGATATGCACTGTGGTTCTACTATCGGTCCACTGTTATCCTCTCAATTAGGTATACCAACAGTGGATTTAGGCTTTCCACAACTGGCTATGCATTCCTGTCGTGAGCTGTGTTGTACATCAAGTGTTGAACAAGCTGTCCGTCTGTATTCAGCCTATTATGAAAATTTATCAAAAATATGGTATTGTTGTAATAATAATCATAATAATGATAATAATAATAATGACAATATGAACACAGATGAAGAACAAAAACAGTCATCCAGTCAATCGCTTACAATGTCTATGGATTAGCATTAATGTTATCAAGGAAAAGAAGCAATTGAATCGAATTGGATTGAATCGAATCCATGGAACTTTTTTGATATATAGTTATTCTTATTCTTATTATTAATATTAGGGTAACTAATCTTGAAATCATAAAGAATCGCACAAATGAGGATATACACAGTGACTCTCCTCGCCCTTTTTTAAAAAAAAATTTATTTATCTAATCTGTATTTTGTCATACAAAAGGCGGTTTTTCTTTGTAGCTTTCATTGTCCTCTTGTGTCTTGTCAACCTCTGCCGTCGTTGTTTGTACCCCTACCCGACCCGTCTGTCTCTTGATGTGCCTTGCCACACACACACACACCCTTACGCACACATACACACACACAATGATGGATTATCAATCCTTAGGATATCTTTGTATTTTTCTTTTCATCAATTCTCCCTCTTTCGCCTTTTAGCTGTGTGTTTTTGTAATCATTGTAACTTGTCACTGTCAGTCCCACACACACACACTCTCTCTCTGGCTGTCTCTACAGTGTGTACTCAATGGTATGTTTCGTCCATCATATGTATAATTTACTCAACAGGTCACTCCTCTGTCTCTCGTCTTCCCTCCCCCCGCCGCCCCTCCCCCACATACGCAACTACTGTCCGTGATTCTGATAAAACAGGTAATGAGAAGGGAAAAATGTCTGTTCAAAGTCTTTCAGAATCTATGGAGAGTAGTTGTAAATTCTTATTATATTAGCATTATTTTTTATTATTATTATTATTATTATTATGGAGTACAGACCTGTTTCGTTCCCGCCCCCTCCTCTTGCGGTCATCGCTCTCCATTCCGTGTTCCTTCCCCGTCCCCACCCCCGCCGTCTTCTTCCTCCTCTTCCTGTCTGCTTTCACAATGTTTATCTGTGTGTACTACTATGTATGAGCAAATCCTCCATTTCATATAACGATAAAAAAATGAAGATTAACAATTGGACAACTTTATTGTTTTAGATATATTTCCGGAGCAATCAATCCGTCACTAAACTTACTCACTCAAACATGACATGAGGCATGAATGGGGAGAAAAACAACTCCGTGTCTCTAACTGGAATATGTCTGTTTTTCACAATTGTTTTGTTTTTTATAGAGACGCGAGATAACGCGCACCCTTTTTTTTTAAAAAAAAGGGTAATGGGTGGTTGATGAATAAATTGAAAATTATAATTTTTTGTTGTTATTATTATTATTATTGTTGTTGTTGTTGTGGTCTTGTTGTTTTTGATCCCTGTTGTTTTTTTTCAATCGTTTTTATTGTTTTTCTCTCTCTCTATCGGTTATATCTTGTTTTTTGTGATCGAGAATGATTCACTCCCAGTCTGAATATAAATATATACATATTTATATAGTGCAGTATATTTTGTTATTGGTGTGATTCCTTTTTTTCTGTTTGCATAGATGTTTACCTCTCATTCGATTGGTCAGAGAATGTCATCGGTTATGAGCTGTGACACATCGGTTACAGAGAACCATTGAAAAATCAAAAGGGAGTTCTGGACTCTTCCGAATAGTAACGCGCATCCATCGCAAGGCTTTGAACCCAAGACCTTACTAACTGACTAAATGACTGACTGATTTCAGCATAAAACTTTGCACTCATGTGCAACAGTTCAAGTCGCCACACTCTCTCCATGTATTACACAAAGCAAGAGAAGAAAGTAAAAAGAAATGCAAAATAGAGACAGTAAATAGAGATGTGAGACAAAACGAATAGTAATATCGAAGAACAATATAGTTTTATTGGGTATTATAAGTCACAAGGAATGGATGCATTTGCACCGGCCATTGAGATCGATTATAAGCCGGCCATATCACCAATTGTCTCCAGCCTCCATTGGTTTTACCATCCCGAGGACCCCAACCAGTCTGGAAGTCTACAGCTTCCTACATGCCTGGCTGGCTTAAACTAACTGTTGTGGATTTCATTGACTGATGAAGCCCCATGTTTTTGTTTGAACACCGCTGACTCTTTTTCAACATGACTCTATGTCAGCTAACTTCGCCCGTCGAGGAAGGCGATGGTTAGGTGTGCATGCGTAACACATGTCCTAACCATCTCAGTCGATGTAGTTGCTTCACAACCTCGTCTATTGATTTCCCCTACTTACCTAGCACTCGACCGATGTCTAACCTCAATATTACCTACCCTATAATACCTAACACCAAAGGTAGAAGGCAGAAATCTATGATCAAAGATAGCTAGCTGGCCTTTTCATGTCTTCCACTTTCAGTGGCCACGTCTCACAGCCGTAGAGTAGGACAGAGTGGACTGATGACCAGTACACACTTCCTTTGGTGGATAGCCAGATATGACGTCTACGCCAGAATCCAATCCCTTCTGGTTACAAGGCGAGTTCATCGATTATTAAGGTCAGACTAGGCTTCCTGTCTATCGCTTCCAACTATCTAAGTATGTTGAAGTAGTATTGGGTACCTTTTCAAAGCTTAAAATGCTTTATTTCCTTACCAAAGTCCATGTTGACTTAGGGCTTTTGATGAATTCATGATCCCACAGGTTGATCAGGTCATTTATTCAAAAAATTGCATCCTGCAAGTTTCGATGAGAATAGCAGTTTGTAAATTAATCAGTGACTTGATATCTATGCAGTTCAGCGAAGAACTTCACTCTAAAGCTGAACAGTTGTATACAGTGTTGTAAGCGATCAGAGGATTGCTAATAATGTCAATTAATCATTGATTTGATGATATTAGATGGTTGGAGGCATTCAGCCACAGGAAGCCTTGGATCTAGGTTTCGTGCTAGTTGGCACTCACACCAGTCAGCAAGGCGTATCTGCAACCTTGAAGGAACTCATATCCCTTCTCAGATTCGAACCCACGTCACCCACCAATCATCTAATATCTTCAATTCAATGTGCACCGTGATAGCGAGCTACCTAGAATGGTGGCCACGTAACAAACCGGACTGATAGAATTCAGTCTGCTGCGAAAAAAAGGACTAGACACATCACACTAGTTACTAGTGTCAAATCAAAAACAATTAGTCATATCAGTTGACAACAAAACATTTGAAGTTACATGTCAAGTAAAACGGTAAATTACAGAATTGAAATTAATAAGTGATGAACACCACTCGAAAATGGTTTGTATTAAAGAATTAAAAATTAAAAAAAATCTCTTGGAAACAAGAACATTGTTCAGAAAATTAAGAAACCCTGAATATTCATAAACTATATTTGAATTATATAAAAGAAATGGTGTTCAGCAAAGAGTTACTCTTTTCGGCGATATCATTCTCATGGACTTCAGCCTCACGTCCCCATTGCGTTCGGTTCTCTGGCAGCGCTATCACCTGGCTCCACGTCTGCCCACATGCTTCCATCACTTCTTCACATGATCTCCTCCATGTCACCTTCACACTGACGACCAACTAACTCTCCGCTTCCCATTCAGGTTCCACTGGAGCAATGGCCTGGCGTTTGATGTCACTTGATGGTTTTTTTTCTCAGAATATGCTTATTTCTTGCACAATTGGTTCCTTCTGGGTTGGTTTATTGCCAGAGATCCCTGTTTCTGATCTTGAGTAGTATTGAGCGGAGACAGCTGTTGATGAAGGTGTGTAGTTTGTTTAAATCGGTCTTCGTGACACGGCGCAGCTGCAAGTCTCTGACTTCACATTGCAGTTGAAAATCCGGATCCTGTCTTTCATGCTGAACCCTGTTGACCTTCACACAGACTTGGTGAGAGTAATGAAAGCTTACCTTGCTTCCCCGATCCTCGCCGCTTCAATAGCCTCATTAGTTCTGTCCGCCTATAGTCAGCTTAGATTTCTCCCGTCGATGATGACTAATGTTTGTTGTTGATCAGGTATCTTCATGGTTGGTGGTTTCAGAGGCCTTTCTCAAAGTCAGTGAAGTTGAGATAGAGAATTGATTACCGTTCTAGGCTTTGTTCTGTGATTATGTTTCAGTCAGTGCGTCTTGAGTCCTATTCCTATTCTATTTAGTTAGGCGTGGCCATCAGGTTAGAATCATCAGCTCTTGAACGGTTACTGTGATGCAAAGACTTGGACGTGAAAAATCTGTTCCAGAAACTGATTTCAAACAATACCTTAGGTTAACTTTGAATACATTTTGTCTCTTTGACGTGTTTTATCTCATAGTTAATCGATCTGTTGAAATGAATTTTTAAGATGTTAATAAATGCTTGCATAGTCATGCAATTACCATAATATGATGGAGAAGATTTATAGCTCAGCTGGATGATATTGATGTGGTAGTGTTCTCTGAGCTGGATAGAGTTAATTTGCGAAGCATTCATTGCCCTACTAGACAACAAACATCTTCAGCGCGTACTTCAATTGGTTGAAGTGAGCTCTTAGATTTCTCTACGAGTTTACCACCTTGAATGTGACTGGTTGTTTCTGTATTTTTTCACACCCTCTATACTGCTTGCATTAGTATTAATTGTTTTCTTGACCTAGCTAGACTTTGACGCTTTGTGTGTATGAGCTTTCCTTCTCGCCATCACAGTGCACTGTGAATTGTTGGTATTAGAAGGTTGGAGGCAATCGACGGGAAGACTTGGACCTAGATTTTGTGTCAGCTTTCACTCACCAGTCACCAAAAGCGTATCTTCAATCTGGAAGGAGCTCATGTCCTTTCAGAGATTCGAACCCGCGTCACTCTAGGTCCCCTAGGCTTCCTGCCGATTGCCTCTAACCACCTAATACCGACAATATCTAACCAACAAAGACAAGAAGCACCGAATACTATCAGTGGCAGGAATTTCAGCGGTGTCATTCCTTTCACTTATTTAGTCAGCATCATTTAAACTTCAGGTCACCAAGATGTGAAGACAGAAAACTTTAGAAATCTGCTACTGTAAGCATTAGGAACAAAATTTAGTTTTTCACCATTAATTTCAAGTCAGTCACTGCTCCTATATGATTCAGAGACTTGGATTGTCACGAAAAGCATTTACAACAAACTACTGCAGACGTTCATCAATATCCGTGAATCAAACGGCCCGCCAGAAAGGATTAGTTACAAGGAAGTCTAGTAGTGAAGCAGACCAGTCACTAACCTATTACCTAACAAATACGTCCAATGAAATGGAGATGTATCGGACACACTTTGAAGAGACCACTGAGTGACACCATGAGCCAGGCCCTTAAATAGAGCCAGCTCGGGAAACGACGAGTTGGGAGTGGGCCAAAGTGTGACATGGTGGAGGGAACGTATGGGAAGGAGAATAATAGCTCATGAGCTATCGTGGAGCCGACTGAAGAGAGCAGTGTGAAATCTGGATGCGATGTTTAAGCCCTACGTTCAACTCGAAACCAAAAGCGAATAATGATAATAGTAATAAATATTGGACGGCTGTTTCGTCCTAGTTTGGGACTCATCGACAGTACGCACCCACCACTAGAGTTAGAGCCCACTGGGACCCGATTCAATCGCCACTCCATGAATTCTGACTTCTACTAACTCATGATTTTAGCGCGATTGGCACCAACCAATGTCATCAGCGGGAACTTCAAGCTCACTCCAAACAGAAAGAACCCTAATGGTCACAACTTCTCATTAGAAGTCTAGGCAATTCCATCCTGTGGCCAGTCAGTGACTAGCGAGCATCAGATTAAATTTTTTAAGAATCAACCTGTACATATCTAGATATATAATATAATAATTTACTTTATTCCAAAAACAGTACTACTTATAATACCCAATGGAATTCTCAGCATTTGTCACAATATTCCATCTGATTTACTCAAAAGATAAATAAAATTTAAACAAAAGTAACCAGAGGAATTCGTACACGTTTACAATATAAAGTGAAAAATATTCTAAGCACGAGTTGAGATCATTAAATATTGATAATAATAATAACAGTGAGTTTGTTTCAAACAGTATTGTTGATTCAGTTTGGAAATTTTAGCATGTTATTATAGAGTACTGGATCTAATGTTCTGTTGATATAGCACCATAGTGAGGGGAAATACAAAATTGACAGTTATAACCCAGCTTAAATGATGTTCACACTTATGAAAAAAGTAAACAAATAAAAACAAAAATTAAGAGGATTATAAATGTAAGAAGTACAATAACAATAAAGGTTGATGTTGTAGGGGTGGAAGAAATGGTTTATTTAGTAGTGCAAAGAAGGTTAGTCAGTTAGTTCATGCCTGACATTATTTTCATCACATAAATTATGTGCCACCAAATATGTTATAGCGGAATTTTTAAACTTAGATGTACATGCATAAATTCTTCTGAAAAGACTTCTAGTTTTTCCCGAGGAGACACAAGGGTAGAGTAGGTGCTCACAGTCGGACAAAATTCCTTAAGTAAATTTATTGCATGACATCAAGTGCCTATCATCA